CCCTTGTACTAAAGGTGTTTGCTAAAGGTTGTTGTTAAGTGCCGTCGAGTTGATTGTGACCCATAGCAACCCTGTTTAGGGTTTCTGAGGAGCAGCTGGTGAGCTTGAACCACCGAACTTGCGGTTCAAACGGCTTTAGAGGCTGATGCATTAACCCACAGCACCACACCAGGATTCCTTGCTAAAGGTACAGTCTCTAAAAAGAATCAGTTTTCTTGTCTCTTCCAGATCTAGAGGTTGTCTGCATTCTTTGATCTGTGACCCCCTTCTTTCATCTTCAAAGTGTCTTTCTGACCATTCTCTGCTTTTCTGTTGCATCTCTCTAACCTTATTTCTAGAATAGCCACATCTACCTCTCTTCATATTTGGGAAACAATTTCAGGTTTTAAGCATCTTGTGATTAGATTGGGTCACTAGGGTACTCCAGGATACTCTCCCCATGCCAAAATCCTTAACTCCATCACATCCACAGAGTCTCTTTTGCCATGAAAAATAGCAAATTCACAGGTCCTAGGGATCAGGACATGCACATGTTGTTGTTGTTAAGTGCCATTGAGTCGGTTCTGACTCATAGAAACCCTGTATAGGTTTCCAAGGTGCAACTGGTGGGTTTAACTGATAACCTTGCAGGTCAAACTGATTTTTATGGCCAAGTGATTATCCTACAGTACCACACCAGTACTCCTGAACATCTTGAAGGGACAATACTTTTGAGTGACTTTTATTGTAACTTTTATTGGAATATTCTCTTAGGACAGAGAATGAGACACTTCATTACCATCTGAGTGATAGCATGGGTGTACTAACCTAAGCAAAATGAAGTCGGTTCAGTCATTGTTGTTGTTAGGTGCCATCGAGTCGGTACCGACCCTTAGTGACCTTATGCACAGCAGAATGAAACGCTGCCCGATCCTGGGCCAACCTCACTACTGTTGCCACGCTTGAGTCCATCGATGCTGCCACTTGGCTAATCCATCTCGTTGGGGGTTTAGTCATTAGGTCTCAATAAATGAGGACCCTGCAAATGAGGAAGTTAGTTTAAAAATTACCTGAGATGGCCTCTTGGTCCTAGAAGGAGAACAGGATGTGCTTAAGTCCACCCAGATAGTTATCTCGGGAACTAAGCAGCTGCAACCCTAAAGGTAGAATGTTTGAGGAAGTTTATTGCCTTATTGTGTCTTTTTCCAAAAAATGCTATCCTGATGTTAAAATAAAGTGTACATCCAAATGTAATTTATACTATATAGTATGTTGCTCTTTGTGATGGAAAGATACTCTTTAAAGATTTTTCTCCGTCCTCCAAACTACTGGCTGTTAATAAAGCTTGGATCGGCTATCTCCCCATCTCCGTGATTGACTACTGTGAGAGGCGGCAAGCCCTTGTTTCAGTGTGGCAACATGAGCGCATTTCCAGACTACCGGCATATACCTGTTAACTTTGAGTCAATCCCAATTCATGGAGAGCCCATGTGTCACAGAGTAGAACTGCTCCATAGGGTTTACTTGTAATCTCTACAGAAACTGGTCACCAGGCCTTTCTTGCTCAGTGCTGCTAAGTAGGTTCGAATGTCCAACTTTCAGGTTAGTAGTTTAATACAAGCCATTTACGCTACCCAGAAACCTTCTGTTTTCAGATTGTTGTTGTTAAGTGCCATCCAGTCAGTTCTGACTGATAGCAACCCTATCTGTATAGGGTTTCAGAGGAGCCTATACAGATAGGCTTGCGAGCTTCCGGTTCAAACTGACCTTGCACTCCAGTGCCACACCAGGATTCTATTTTCAGATTGGTGGTGGTGGCTATGATGTGCTGTGGAGTTGTTTCCGACTTATAGTGACCCTGAATATGGTTTCTGAGGCTGTAAATCTTTACAGGAGCAGAAAGCCTCATCTTTCTCCCATGGAACAGCTGGTGGTTTTGAACTGCTGACCTTGAGGTTAGCAGTCCAACTTGTAACCACTATGCCATGTCAAATATTTTTTGAAGGCTTGTTGGTTTTAAGCTACACACAATTTGAAATGGAGAAATAGAACGTTATTTAATTTGAAATGTAAAAATGTAATGTTATTTATTCTCAGAGAATTATGAAGTATATAGTCTGTTAAAGCAAAATGTTGTTAAGTGCCGTCGAGTCAGTTCCAATTCATAGTGACCCTGTGTAGAGTTTCTGAAGTGCAGCTAGTGAGTTCTCTAAAGAGCTAAGGGTTACTCTGTAAAATTCTGTCCATTATTTATATGCATCCTGGTGCTTACACTCACCATTTTGTTGTTGTTATAAAGTGGTGTCGAGTCGGTTCCGACCCATAGCGACCCTGTATAGGGTTTTTCAGGAGCAGCTGGTAAGCTTGAACCACAACCTTGTAGTTCAAACAGCTTTGCAGTCTGGTGCATTAATCCACAGTGCCACACCAGGACTCCTCAACATACATCCTTGTAAATAAAAACTCACCTTTTCTGGGAGACATTAGTGAGAATTCCGCTGGGAATTTGATACCACCATCTTATTCTGATGCCTGACCTGTTTTTTGTTTCCTGAAAGCACCAATTATTAATAAATTGTTTCTAAAATAAGTATTTGTGTGTGTGTAAAAAAATCATTATTATTTTAAAGCAATTTGTAGATAAAATTATCTCTTTCCAAAATTTTTTTCTATCTAGTATCTGTATCTGCTCTTCTTTTCATTTTTTTTTAAACTTTTTATTGTGCATTGAGTGAAGGTAAACAGACAAGATCATCAGCTTTAATTTAAACCAATCATATGTTTTGTTTCATCTCAATGATTACTCTCATCCCTGTAACAACAGTTAGCCTGTTTATATACCCATGGCTTCCCTTTACATCTTATTCTTCAAAATGAACAAAGAAAAAATATTTGATGTACACATATGAAACCAAACATATACATTCATTTGCTGTGGGTTAATGTGCTGGACTGCAAAGTCAGTTTGAACCACAAGGTCGGCGGTTCAAGCTCACCAGTGGCTCTTCAAAAACCCTATACAAGGTCGCTATGGATCAGAACTGACTTGACGGCACTTAACAACAGCAACAACATTCCTATCATAGCCACTCTTGTGGGCAAGTTCTTTGGGCAAGCTGGACAAAGAAGCAAATACATCTGGGTGAAAAAGAAGAGGAAAATCTGGAAGAAAATGAGAAGACGAGCCTTGCAATATGCTGGCTGCTTATACAAAGACCTAACCCTTTGCTTGGAGAAACTAGAGGAAGGACATATAGGAGTTCGAATTTTGCATAAACAGGACTGTCTGTCCCATTGTGTGTGACGAACAGGTGAGTAGTCCTGGTGTGGCATTGTGGGTTAATGCGCTGGACTATAAAATTAGTTTGAACCTAAATGTCGGTGAATCAAGCTCACTAGCCCCTCAGAAACCCTATACAGGGTTCATTATGGGTTGGAACTGACTCGACGGCATGTAACACCAACAACAACGCTTATTTGCTACATATACAGTATTTAGCATTGGCTGGTTTTCTGGAGCTCTTAGTCCTGGGTTTCTTCATAGGTTTCATGGGTGAGATCATTTATATGCATAATCAAATTAATGTAAAAGCTCTAAACTTTTCAGAATTCCCTCCCCTCAGCTATTTTATCTGGTCTTTACAAGAACCTGGATATAAGTCAGGGCCTATATGAAAACAGAGTCATAGATTCACCACCATATTCTCATCTAACTTGGTCACAGGGTTAGTGTGAATTTAGATCAGAACAAGTTATCTTAATTCCCAAACCAATCCTCTTTCTATTTGATTATATTGATTAAAAAAAAAATCTAGTAACTCGAGTTAGAGCAGAGTTTTAATGACTTCAGAACTGTCAGATCTATAACACCAATTCTCATTTACAATCTCTATTTAGCAGCAATTGACTGTAATTCGGTGAGGGGTAATAAGCAAAAACGGCATACCATGCAGTATCATATAAAAACATAGCAAGATCTTGAAAATGCAATCTTTTATAGAGAACTAAGAAAGATCTTGAAAAAACAAACACTTTTGTTGCTGTAGATAGCTTACAGTTTCTACCAAATGATGAATATAAGAATCAAATGAAAAGACCACTTCTGAGCTTAAATTGTCCAGCATGCACAGAGCTGAGAGTTTCTGTTCAATGTAATTGATCCCACCAAAACTGGGGTAAGTAAAATGCCTGAAGTGACTTCTTAATGTGGAATTCTATCTACTCCTTGCCCCATGTGGTTCTTTCCCTTAGTCTGATTAAACCAACCAGCTATATTCACTAAAGGCTGACACACCATTTGGGGCTGGTTAAGGCTCAGAATAACTTTCTGAATCACTTATTATAAGTTTTACACAAGTTGAAGGTTGATTTTTTTATATATATATATAATAAGCCAGCCCAAAAGTACACACAAAATTTGTTTCTTTATGGCCTTACTTGTTAGTTTTAAGTACATGTTAATTTTAAGCAAATGCCAATTTCCAATCTTTGGAAAATACACTTTAAAATAATATAATTTGTTTTTTCAACTTTATTATCTCTTCTTGGATCTTTGATTATTTTTATAGTCAAATTGCATATTTACAGAGATCAAGCTTCTTGGGGGGAAAATTCCTTTCAAATTATTATATGTATTTTACTAATGGCAGATATGAATATTGCATTTAATTAAATAGATAAAAATGGATTTTGTTTTGGGAAAATACATTCGTCCCTGGGGAATGAAGTCTGGTCCTCATAGTTGAATGCTTATAAAGCCTGCCCAATGCCACCATACAAGGAGCACAGAACAATCTTCAGTTCTTTATTCATCATAGTTGAATGTGCTTCTTAGGAATTCTACTCAAACAGAGAGTCTGCATACTGGGAAAATTATGTAGCAATCATCTTTCCCTAACCGAAAAACAAAATACAAATGTGAAAAAGTTCACAACATTGCATGCACCTCAATCTCCGCCATCACTCCCTGATAACGAGACTGAACCACAAGAAGGTTCTGCAGGTCCTTAATGGGCTCAATATCAAGAGTCTGTGCAGTAACTTCGTGGTCCTTCTCTGATTAGCTGTGTTTTCTCATTTGCATTTGTAGGCTGGAGAACAACTGGAAAGTCCATATCTGAAAAAGAAACAAAGCAAAGCAATGAGCACATATTATGTTACATTTCAGTTATGGGACAAGTGGTAAGTATTTTTGTTGAAATAATGAATGGCAAATCAGTTCAATTCATAAAATATTGAGGCTGCCTACCCTTTTAAGAAGAATCCTGTTAAGGGGCTGTAGGATAAGCACTGGACTGCTAACCTCAAGGTCAGCAGTTCAAACCCACCAGCTGCTCCTTGGAAACTCTATACAAGGTTGCTATGAGTCAGAACTGACTCGATGGCACTTAACAACAGCAACAACCTTTTAAGAACTTTAAAAGGGAGAAGGAAATGTTTGTATTTTTCACTCAGATTCTACCAGCTACGGAATTGTTAAACTGAGCACTGAACCCAATTTCACCTTGAAGGTACTTGCTGAACCTGGTGAACTTGAGTTGGTCAAAATGGAACCAGGGCCACCACATATGTTTGTGCACACTGCACTGCACAAGTCTAAGGGGTAACTTTCATATATTTTGTTCTTATTGTCATCATTAAGTCAGTCCTGACTCACAGTCACCCCTTATGGCAGAGCACTGCCCCGGAGGGTTTCCTAAGTTGTAATGTTTAGAGGACCACATCACCAGATCTTTCTCCTACAAGCTGCTGGGTGAGTTTGAATCATCACCCTTTGGGTTAGCAGCCAAATGCTTAACCATGGAGCTACAAAGCCTCCTTTATAGAGACTACAATGTCTAATATTTGTCTCCTTATCTGAATTGTAAAGTCTGAGATAACAGTAACCACATCTGTCTTTTCTCTAGCTCCTAGAATTGTCGTTAAGTGCCGTCGAGTCATAGTGATCCTATATAGGGTTTCCGAAGTTGTAAATGTTTGCGGAAGCAGAAAGTCTCATCTTTCTCCCAAAATGCAACTGGTGGGTTCAAACTGCTGACCTTCTGGTTTGCAGTCCAGTGCTTATCCTACAGAGCCATCGTACTTCCCAGAGCCTAGAACAGTGTCAGACAAATATTATTCACTGAATGTTTGGTTCAGAGACTAATGTTTACAGTTAAGAGTGAAATTTTACAGTATTTGTTTTATTGTATAAAGTTGCCAGTCTAATAACTTGTACTCAGTGAATCTTGGCAGCCAGAAATCAAAGAAGCCTTGGGTCTGCTTTACAAACTCTCTGGGCAGCATTCTGAGATGGTCTACCTGTGATGCTGCCCTGGCCCAGTGCTTTAATGCTGCTTGACTGATATTGTATATGAACAAAAAGAAAACGGGTTTGGACCAATTGGAAGCATTGGGTTTCAATGAATTGTTTTTAGAAATTGTTTCTTTTTAACAGGGGGTAGGGAATAGGAAAAAGATTGAGTGAGGAATTTTGAAAAGAGGAAGGGCAGATTTAATCTATTCCTTATGACTTTTCATGGGCAGTAAGATGTGATGAATGCTGAACAACAAATATAATAAATGTTTCAATATCTTGGCCAAGAGCGACTGTCTAATTATAAGCCATATGGCCTTATCAGCTCAGTGGTTATGAACTTATTTGGATTTTATCCAGGTGTGTGGTGGAAAGAGCAGATAAGCCATCAACAGATTTTTCTTTGCACTGAACCTAACATTTCAGAAACAAGGTCAATACTATTAAATTTTCTCCATTAGATATTTTATTCCTCTCACCTTAAAAAAAAAAAAAAAAGGAAAAGGAAAGAAAGAGAGAAAAAAGGAACAAAGAAAAAAGAGAGAGGTACTAGAAATTCATGACTCCAGGAGATATCTTAGGTTTAACTGAGAATGTTAGTTGAATTTCAGTTCACTGCAATTCTACTTGGGAGAAACAAATTAAATTTAGTGCTTGTATTTTTTTGTTTTGTCAGAGTATTCAGAGTTAACTGGTTTCCTTTTGAGCTATTGACATTTACCATGTTAGGGGATAGCACAAATATTCTGAAGGAGTACTTTCTCTCACAAACACACACACATATACAGTCTCAGGAGTAATCTCAAGATGATATGTAAAGTCCTCTTAGCAGAATTCTGATTCTTATCATGGCCTTCAGGAAGCAAAAATGGAGGAGTAGTTAATCTTACAGTACAGAAACAGAGAACCCTAGGACCATCAAGGGAGAAGAGCACAAGTGGAATGCAGGACTCTATCCAGAGAAGCAGTGACATGAGATATAGAGGCAGAGATGGGGACATGGAGACAGGAAGCAGCTGAGGACTCTAGATTCATGGAAAGAGAGCTGGTGGCCAGGAGGCAGGCTTGCAGAATGTGCCCTTTGGTGGTTTCAATTATTATATAGACCTGAGTGCTTAAAAAAAAAAAAAAAAGAGCAAAACTAAATAGAGAGAAATACTGTTAACTGATGGATGGTACATGGAGGAGATTATAATCATTGCAATGAAACAAAGTATACAATTTATTGAATGTAAAATTGATGATCTGCCCTGTAAACTTTCATTCAATTCACAATAAAAAACAAAACAAAACAAAAACCCGAAAGCAATCTAATTACTTACATAGAGGAAAGACAGTTAAATAAGAGGGTGTAGCAGGAATGAGGAACACCAGAACTACAGAAGCTGATAGAGACCAACAATGTAGGGAGAGAGACCCTTCCCCTGGAGTTAGTGACTAAATTCAGACTAGCTATGAATCAGAACTGACACTTAACAACAATAGCAAGGCTCCTAAACTGTGAAGAAATGTTTCTATTCTTAAAGCCATTCACGTGGGGATTTCTGTTATAGCAACACTAAGACACAACACTAAGAACAATCCTAACAGTACCAGCTACGTAATTTGCAGAGCCCAGGGCAAAGTGAAAATGTGGTAGACTTTGTTCAAAAGGTATTAAACATATCAAGGTTCTGGTGACAACAGAGCAGTAAACAAAGTGTTGGAATTCCTTGCCAGTGAATAGGGCAAGAAAAAGAAATAAAAGGAATATTAATTTGAAACTATAAATAAAACCATCCCAATCCTTAGACATGATTGTCTACATAGAAAATCCCAAGAAGCCTCAAAAACTCCAAACCAGTAAGTGAGTTTAGCAAGGATGCAAGATATCAGGTCAACAGAATGAAATTAATTGTAAATACTTGCAATGAACGATTGGAAACCAAAATTAAAAACCAATGTCTTTCATAATGCTTTAAAAATTAATATGAAGGAATACATTTAACAAAACATGTTCTAGATATATGTAAAAAACTATACAACACTCATGAAATAAATCAAATAAGACCCAAATAAATGAAGAGATACACCATATTAATGAATTGGAAAATTCAACATAGAAAAGATTTCAATTCTTCTAAAATTTATTTATAAATTTAATGAAATTCCAATTTTTAAAATAAGCAGGATTATTCTGAGTATCTAGATATACTGATTCTAAAACTCATATGGAATGGCAAAGAAACTAGAATAGACAAAACAATTTTAAAAAAGAATAAAATTGGAGGACTCATATCTGCTGATTTTAAATTCTACTTTACAAATACAGAAATCAAGGCACTGTGACAATGGTGAAGGAACAGACACACAAATCAATGGGACGCAATAAGGGAGTCCAGAAATAGAGCCATACAATCGGGCCAATCGATTTTTGAAAAAGTTGCAGTCAATTCAGTGGACAAAGGATAGTCTTTTCAACAAAAGGTTTTAGAACAATTGAACATTCATGCTAAAAATAAATATTCTCTAAATTTCACATCTTATAGAAAAATTAATGTAAAATGGATCATACATTAAAATGTACATCATAAAACTCTAAAATTTGAGAAGAAAACACTGGAAAAGATCTTCATGATGTAGGGTTGGGCAAAGAGTTCTTAGACAAGACATGGTACCAAAAGCACGACCCAGTTTTAAAACAGATCAATTTGATTTCATCAAATTTTTGCTCTACGTGAAAGCAAAAATGCATAACAATATACAACTACAATAGAACTTCAGTAAAACAAGCAAAACCCAATATTTATTACTGTATGCTGTTGACTCCATTTGGACTCACAGTGACCCTACAGGCCCTACTGGATTTCCTTGGACTCCTGGTGCAGCACTGTAATATAAGCCCTGCGCTACTAACACACCAGGTCACTATGAGTCAGAATTCAACTTCATGTCTCTAAACAACAACAATCTTTATTAAACCACTCATCTGTCAGTTTGTCATACTGTGGTGGTTTGTGAGTTGCTGTGATGTTGGAACTATGACATTGTTATTTCAAATACCAAAGTCGGTCTGAACCACAAAGTCAGTGGTTCAAACTCACCAGTCTCTCCTTGGAAACCTTGTACAGGACCGCTATGGATTAGAATCGACTCGACAGTTTAACAACAACAACAACAACCAGACTAAGACAGTCTGGATAGAAGGACTTGGTGATCTACTGCCGAAATAATTGGAGAGTGAAACCTTAGGGATAGCAGTGAGATATTGTTAGATACAGTGTCAGAAGACAAAGTCCTCAGGGTAGAAGGCACTCAAAGTTGCCTCTTTAAAACAGAGTTGACCTTAATGGTATGAATGTAGTAAACCTTCTAAGACTTTCATTTGCTGAAGTATCACAATTCAAAATGAGAAGAAATAGCTGCAAGCATCTATTAATAATTAGAATATGGAATATATGAAGTTTCAATCTAGGAAAATTGTTAAGTGCCATCCAAAGAAGCATCCAAAGAAAGCCTAACATTTATGTGGGGCACTAACTATCAGGAGGAATAAAGTTTGTGTGATAGGAATTCCAAAATAGGAAGAGACCCAAAAAATCCATAGACAATATTGTTCAAGAGTTGTTGGAAGAAAGCTTCCCTAACATCATGAAAGACAAGAAAATAGCCATCCAAGAAGTAGAACAAACTCCAAATGGGATAGACCCCAAAAGAAAACACCAAGACATATTATAACACATATAATCAAACTTTCAAAATCAAAGACAACGAAAAAATCTTGAGAGCAGCTCAGGAAAAATGAAGTTACCTACAAAGTAGAATGAATAAGACTAGGCTCT